AATTGCAGAATAATTTGCGAACGTATAAATCACCGATTTCAAACTTTTTGCATTTCGTAAATATTAATAGTGACCAATCTGTTTGTATTTCAAAAAATTGTAACATGTTTCAATTAAATTAAAAAGAGAATAGTAAATAACTTAGTGTGTATTGCATTGCATGACATAAAAGCTAGAAAGATGTATGTAAATGACATGCAAATTAATATGCAAATTTATGCTAATTAGGCCGCCCACCAGCTATTTTGGATTGTGGAGAACACTGTGTTTTTTCTATACACAAGTTGACCTGAAAGTGTTGCTTGACCTACATGTATTAATCAATCAGATGCTGGCTGGTGCCAATGTATTGGAATTACTGTATCATAGCTCATTTAAATGTGTTAATGATTGTTAAACGACTTCACTGAATGGTGAATGCAATGCTGATGTTGTATTACATGTACATTTGTATCTTTTTGGTTTTGGTATTGATGTTGGTAAGTAACAAACATCATGAATTAAGCATTTAAGAAGCATATTAATAACACTTTTTTATAATAATAACTTTATTACACAACTGCACCATCAGTGGGTGCTGTATGGTAAGGATACAGATCAGAAAAAACAAACACAAATAAACAAAAACAACAAAAGTTTCAAAATTACAAACAAATCAAATGGTATATATAAAATACGTATACTTTTTTGTAGCAATAACGGCTCATTATGAATTCATGCTAGTCACAATATAACATTGTTCATTTGAATACGCTTCATTGACTTAAAAAAAAAAAAACTTCGGAAAAAGACAAGTTCAGATTCCCACAAAACAAAATATCAAACTTTCTCAGCCAAACGATCTATTGGCATAGCATTAAGCCACACTCAAAACATTTGACTGCATTCATCATGTTTGTGTGTTTGCATACAAACACCTTTTTATGTGAAGAACCTAAAACACTTGACCTGAAATATTTGAAACCAAATTTATTAATCAATTTTTATAAGGCTGTCGCTGATTGGCTCTGAAAGTCAGTATTTTTCACCTGACTTGTAGGAATGTGAATAACCTCAGCTTGTCTGTCTTACATGTATAGAGCCGTGCTCAAAATGGCAGCCTCCATATAGAAAATATCGGTTAATTAATCATAGATATTTTTATAACACTTGTACACCAGCTGACTGCATACATTGAATATTAATTTGTTAATTATATCAAAATAAAAAATGCTGACTGTCAAACATTTTGTATTAAATTAATGAATGCTTTTTTGAAGCCATACCTCGGACATGTCTTGACGGATTGCAATCATATTGTATGTCTACATGTGACACATAATGGCATACTGTACATTTGTTTCAGGGTCTGATACACAATGGCTTACTAATTTCAGCTTACTAATCCCAGGTAGAATTTGAGCTCATGATCTAATGATTGGACTGTTGTAATAACAAATACACTACCAGTGATTGGTATTTTTTAATTACACTGATGTTACAGAACCTTTCACCTAGATGCGCCACCAGATAATTTTGGTGTCCTATAAAATGAGTACTTGTCAGTGTATAATTTCTATGAGCCCTAGCAGGGATCCTCCCAGGGCATTAAAGAGTAGAGGTTTCCAACTGTTTAGTTTGGGATAAACAATAGCGCATATTTAGCATAACAATGGATACAATAGAGTTAATTAAAATATGGTATTGTGATGCTAATTATTCGATACTCTATGTTGTTTTGCTGGGGAGAAAACTGCCCTGGGCAATTTATTTTGTCTCATAATTATGAAGTTCAAGTCTTGTCAAAGTATTGATTACTACACATACTTTGCTGTTAACTTCCAAACTTATTTTCTTTAATTTTACAGTGCTTCCAATCAAGGATCTGACTCCTTCAGTCATGAAAGGAAACGGGGATGGAAAATCAATATTTAAGTCCAGAAAGTCAAAGTCACCATCCGATTCAGACTCTTGTGACTCTGGACGGTCTGGGCCGACTAAGCGTGGTAAAAAACGCAAGAATAAAGATGCACCATTAGAGTATACACTGAGGAAAAAGTTGAAGGAAGAGTTGGATTCCAAATGTCCAGTGCCAGGGTGTGACTCTACAGGTAAGCACCTGTTACAATCATTACACATGTTTCTTCATTCATACACGTTATATGTTTCAAATAATACTCTGTAAAAAGAATTTACTACCATACTTATCCCGGTAAGAGCCCATGCCTGGGCAAAAGCCCATCCCCCACTTTTGACACAATAAATAATCTGAGATCATATCGGGGCACACGCCCAAGGGGCCTTTTTCTACACAAAAAATAAAAAAAAAAACTATTTTCTATTCGTTGACAGTGGTTGTATTAACAGTTGACTTTCTTGAAGTCTGTCGTGATGCTTATAAAAATTCTTTAAATATAATTGTTAATTGCTTAAAACAAGGGGTGAACGCGAAATAGCTGTGACAGCTTTCTGCTTTCAGGGTAGGCGTTCACCGCTGATTTTATTCAGAATCTTAACAGTCAGCAAGTCTATAAAAATATATATTAAAGCAGAAACGGTAGTTCTCGACAATTAAACCAATGTTGCAATATTGTAGCAACCCGTACCTGGGAGTCTGGTTAAAATCACGTTATTTTGGCTTTATAAAATATTTTGTAGCAGCTTGCGAATCCATAACTGGGGCCAGCAATTTTGCAATGTCACGCCGAAGACTGCCAACTTTTTTACCATCTTTCATCACCGCTATTGCATTTCTGTCATGAAATCTATTCTGTCTTTGGATAAAAAAAACAGTTCCTATTTCAAGTCCACTGCGATATCCAACCGCTGAAACTTGCTGAATGATAACTTTCACCGTGATTGATAAGCCTCGAGTCTGATAAGAAAGCAATGTCACGATTTGACCTTTATGATGAAATACTAGTAAGTGATGACATTCTTAGCCAATCAGTAAAGCAGATGCGTAAAGGTCATAGATTATTGCTAGACTGTAAACAAAAGCATCCTTATTATTGATCATTGTGTGACGGTTGATTCGTAATTTGTCGAGAACGGAAATCATTTTATGCAGTTTAACCCCTGACATTTTACATTGTAATTCATTTTGAGTTCACACGTATTGGGCGTGTTTGTGGGCGGGAAAATCCTAATTCAAATGATTCCTCACTGTCGATTTTATCATTTCGGGTTTATTTGTCACATTATAAGCAATACATTATATTTCTAGTGTTGCATATTGTTCATTTATTTCCGTTCCATGTTTTCATTTGCCGTTCTATTCCCTGCCGCAGTTCGTTCTGCTTGTCAATTTTTGCGAATTTTCGTTTTTTTTGCCGGGGATCTCCTGGCAAACACCCACCCCTTCTTTTTGCCAATTTTCCATGTTCAGGACCCTGGGCTTATACCCGGATAAATACGGTAGTATCTGAAATTACTGTCTAAAAATTGAAACACCAAAGGAACAGAGGGAATTGTGAGGTGTTCAGTTATTGGATGGTGATCACTAAGTCAAGCCACAGGTGATTTTTCAATTTCAGAAATAATTTGTTTAGCTCCGCTGTCGACTTTGTCGAGCGGAGCTTATCATATGAGTGATGTCGTCGTCGTCGTCCGTGTCAATGTTTTACTTTTCGACTCTTCTGAAA